TTAGTGGAAATTGTGGGGTCAGTTGGCCTTCACCAATGTACAGATTCTGAATGACAGTATTAGGGAAGAAACAGCAGGAATTTTACTACAGTAATCATCTTTGCTTAAGTAGGATGAGGCCAAATAGAAAGCATTCAGGGAGGTTTGGAATTGCTGTCTGTATCCACAGATAAGTTGGCATTTATTTGATTTTGTGATTCCTTCCTTTTTGAAAATGTTGCTAAGTTGTGTTTTGTCTTACTGAGTAACATCTACCTAGACTGTATTCGTTAGCCATATTTGTAAAGAATATATTCTATTCCCAAAGATAATTACTTTTGTCAAGTGGGAAAGCAGCTTCACATCAGAATGTGGGTTTGCTTGACAGAGTAAATGATGTTGGAGAAAAATCTTGTTGTATGAATTTAAAGTCATACAGTAGGAAAACTAGCTCAAATGTAACTTAGGCTTTCTTCTTTTTCCCCTTGAGGTTGGGCTTTGTTGTGTTCAGGGAGTCAGGTGGAGTGACAATTATGTGTTACGGATCATGTGTACCTTAACCTAAACTTAGGTCCCAAGCACACAGTGACTTCATTGCTGCCAGTTCCCACTCAGACAGCTGTTTCTCGCATTTCTCCTCTGAATAGAAGGTGTTTAAGAACTGCATCCTAATTTGTCTAGTAGTTATCTTTGTTGGTGTTGTAGAAACCAGAACAGCAGGAAAAGGAGGAATTGTTAAGTGGTTTTGACTTGGGGGTTTTCATAGCGTTCCTTGTGCTCCAAACTATTTGGTTGTAACTGAGGAAGGTCTGTGGTATGTAGTATAAAATTAAAGGAGTCACTGTTTGAATGTGGATCATTTTGGAAGCATGGTTGCTGTTTTGTTCGATGAGATTATTCCTGCTACTTTGAGAAGGGGAGGCTTTTTGTTCTTCCATTTCTTTTTATCCTTTTTCTCTCTGTAAATATAATAGTTTGAGGTTAGAATCTGGCTTCTTCTATTTTTTTTTTTTGAGGGTGTCCCAAAGATTGTCTTGGAGATTATGATGTAAATATTGCAAGTGTAGTTGAATATGAAAGTTAAAATTGTCTATAACACACAGATTGAATGTAGGAGATAGTTGAAATTTTTTGTTTTTGGTTAATTTGTTTTGTTTTCTGAGACAAGGTTTCTCTGTGTAGCTTTGGCTGTCCTGGAACTCGCTCTGTAGACCAGGCTGTTCTCAAACTAACAAAGATTCGCCTGCCTCTGCCTACCAAGTGCTGGGATTGAACGCGTGTGCAACCACTGCCTGACTCAGTTAAGATGTTTTTGATGACGGCGTACTTAACTCTATATCTATGGCTCCACATTTGTGGATGCCTCACCCACAGATTCAGGAACCACATATCACATGCATGTGATGACCACCTCTGTACTGAACATGGACAGATTCAGGGGGTATATTATTATTACCTCAGTAGTGTAGTTCAATAACTGGTTAATATTGCATTTGTTCTGAATTCTCTAGAGATGATTTAAAGCAATGAAAGGACATGTCTAGGTTATCTCAAATACATACCATTTTATAAAAGAAAGACATGAGCATCCTTAGGTTCCTAGAACCAGTCCCCTGTTGTTACAGAGGAATGACTGTATTATGTTGTCATTGAAAATACCTTTATGAATTAGTTAACAACAGGAAACTAGAAGGAAGCCCATTTGTCATGTTGGCAAATCTTAGGGCCCAGGCTACTCTCCTGTGATTTAATTTCTCTCTCACTGATCCAGTTCAGACCAAAGACTACCAAATTCTTTGCTGATGACTCCCAAATATAGTTCTAGCTGTTGTTCATCTCTTCTTTATATTCTGCTTTTGGTAGCCTGTGGTCTTGATGACATTGCTGTTTGGATGCCTAATAGGCATTCATTTCAGGTTTATCCTATCCATAAACAACCCTGTTTGTGTGTTCCTGTTCTCCCCCACCTTTTCCACCTTCCTCTCCTCTCCCTCCCCGCTCCCCCTCTTCCCTGTCTTCCCCCTTTTCCCCTTATCCCTTACAGGATCTCACATGGCCCTGCTGGTTTCTAACTGTGTAGCAGAGGATGGCCTTGGACTTTTGATCCTCCTGTCTCTACCTTGAAAATGCTAAAATCAAAAAAAAAAAAAAATGCTAAAATTATTGGCATGTGCTGCCAGGCCTGGCTCTGTTTCTCTTCTCAATCCTTAAATCTATTTCTTCCCCAGTTTAGCTATTTCAGTCAGTTGTACCACCAAGGTGAAACTTCTACCTCTGATACAGGAACTTATGTCCTGCCAGCTTGTTTTCCCCTCACCACTACCAGTACTTTAGGTCTCCTTTAGGGCTCCCCTGGAGCACTGCAGGAGCCTTATGTTTCCTGTCCAGTGGATACTTAGTGTGGTGATGGCACTGGGAAAGTACAAGTACTCCTTGTGCATGGAATTTGCATTCTTCCTAAAGACTTGCTGCTGCCAAGGAGGAGGTCATTAAATAAAAAAAAATATTTCCACCAATATTAACAAGGAAAATTATGGTGCATTTTATTCTAACTCAGGATACTTGAATAATGTTTATGTGTACAAAAACATATTAGTTGGTGACTCTTGGAGAAATCCACTCCCGTGCTTTCAGATGTGTTGTCTGTCTTCCCAAGCGACTCTTTTTGTGTACTAATACTTGTATTCAAAATCTGTATTTAAAATGTCTTCAAAGATCCCAGTTCTGCTTCATTTCATACACACGCTCCACCTGATGGAACCGGCCTGCCATCTCAGCTGCTTGTGGGGCTGAGGGAGCAGAAGCCAAGTTCAGGACTTGTCTGGGGTTGGAGCTAGAGCTCAGAGGGAATGTTCACCTATACACAGAGCTATCAGTTCAGTCTCTAGGAGTGCTAAAACAGTTGTTAATTGAGCAATGAAAATATTTTATAGGCCCCAATAGGAAGACCAATAGTTCATGTAAAAAGTAATTTATTGAAAGTTAATTCAACTCTTTATTTCTGTTCTTTTTTTGCCCCACAGAGTTTTCAGCCCTTTGTTAGTTCTGTTTTGTCACATACTCAAACTAAAAACTAAAGTTATAGAGAACAAAACATTTTAGGGTGAAATAAATGCACACTGTGAAGATGTGTGGAAATGGGTCATTTGCACAGTAGGATGATGACTCCTGAAGATGCTACCTCTTCTTTCTCACGTGATGTCCCTACCCAAGGGAAATTATCTTGGTTTCTTCAGATATGGTATGAGTTTTAAGTTTGTTCCACATGGTTGTCTGTGACCAGAAACTATTATAGCAAATAATACTGTTTCATGTCTTTGCCTGAGACTGTAATGATGGAACAGTGTATCTTACACTATAATGATTTAGATTGTTTGTGGTGAAAAATAGAAACTGTAAAACCCAGGGGATTTTTTATAAAGGTGGTGTAACCTTTTTAAGAGTCATCATATGAACGGTCATTATGTAAAGAAAATAGAATACTGAAATGATAAGTAATTCAGTGATGTTAATTCAGCCTCTCTTGATACATATTTCAGTTGAGACCTGATAGATAGAATAACCAGTCAAGGAATAATTGTAAGGAAAACACTTTGGCCAGAAGAAAATAGTGACTATGAAAGCTCAGAGGTGAGGGTAGAGAGATGTCTCAGCCATTAAAGGCTAGTCTCACAACCAAAAATGAAAGCCCAGAGGTAAACAGGACTTAGTTATTTGAAGAACACATAGAGACCAGGGCTGCCTGGAGCCCAGTGAGCGGGAAGGAGACAGGGTCTGCGGAGTGTTGAACAAGTGAGCAGAACTATGCTCCGAGCGTCCAAAAGGTCAGGAGAACTTTTGATAGGTCCTAGAGGTGGGAGCCATGAAGAGTTTTGGTCTAGAGAAGGCGGTGTACTTGGGGTGGGTGACATGGAGTAACACTGTCTTCTTGGCTTGTTCAGAGAAAACCTGTTTTTGTTGCTCTTCTCATGTGTCCTGGTGCATACATAGCTGTACATAATGCTTTCGTCTCTGATTTCTTTCATAATTGCCATTGCAATAGTCTTGAAGCTCTGATTAAATTCTTTGACATTAGTTTTAAAAGCACTAGTTGAGCAGAGTCAAGAACACTAAATTAAATCATCAGATTTGACTATATAATCATTTGGTTTAGGAAATAGTGAGAAATACACATTTGTTTTTCCTGAGCATTTTAAGAAGCTGGACTTTAATTTTCATGTTACAAAAGCAAGTTGATAAAGTCCCTAAGTGCAGCAGAATTAGCTCCGTTATTAGAAAGAACATGGAATTAAAACTAAGCATATTGTGGCTAGAAGCAGCCAACACCAGCCCAAGATGAAAAGACTACAGGTTGGGGTCTCCTGTGATTGTGATGGGGCCTGGGGTCGGCATGGGGCTTTCTAGACAATCTCCTATGCTAATAGAGATGCAGACAGCATTGGTGGCTGCAGCTGCTCTGTTTTCCCCCTTCGTTGTGAAAACACTGTGTATAATTTGTCTGATGTGCTTTAGGACCAAGTTACGGTTTGGCTTATAATCACGGTAATTTCCAGTTTTTCTGTTTGAGACAGTTGCCAGGAGGAGAATTATTTACCTCAGTGGCTGTCAGTAAAGTAACATAGGAGCTAGGCTTTAGGCTGTAAAATTACCTTGGTGTTCAGCTTATATGAGTCAGTACCGTAACTTCAGCTGGTTTTGTGTATTTTCATAGCATGCCCTTTGATGGCGAGTGGAGAAGCTCCTTTCTTCTTAGGTTGATTGAATAACAAATCTCTGTGCAGCCACGAGCCCCAGGGCCTTCTCAGAGCTCCTTCTCAGAGCTGGATAATGTAGTGATGGCCGTGCAGCCTGGAGAGAGGGTGCTTAGCTCCCCTGCAGCTGCGCACTGGCTAGTTCTGTCTCCACTAGAAGCAAGCTTTGTTCCGTGTGGCCCTGCTGTCCGTGCACAGAGCTGCCTTTGATGGGCTGTCTTTGACGTGATTTGTTTACGGCAGCCAGAATGCTTCCTGCATAATGAGAGCAGTTAATCATGGAAACTGGGCTATTCCTGTTTGTGCACTTCTAGCAGTCTTCTGTTGTAAATATTAAAAGGTAATGACAAAAGGATGAAAACCTTTCCTAAAAGGCGCAAACCAGCTAATCCATCAGATCATGTGATTGCTACTGATTACATGGATATCTTTAGGGAAGCAGAAAATGATTGCTGAACACATGCCTTGTGTTTTGATGATTGCATTAAAAGTCCCCCCGTGGGATGACATTTATTGGCTCCCAGAGCTTTTCTTAGATTAAATTTCAGACATCCGGTACAAGGCGAAACATCACAACGTGTATCTAACAGCATATGTGCAGTTAAAGAATAATTTTGCTCAGGCCCTGCTAGGCTTTGCTAAAAAAAGAAAAAAAAACGAGGGTTTTCAGCAAGACCCCAGACTTTTATTTTGAAGTGGAGTAGCAGCTGTTGGCTATTGCGGTGCAGAGCTGCAGCGCGGCCTGGGTCACACAGTGCTCCCGGTGCCTGTAGGCTGCAGGCCGAGCCCAGTGGCGCAGGCACTGAGCTACACTTATTTTGCTGTGATATTTGACCTCTTGGTTTGAAAGAGCTCCCTGGACCATCTGAATGGCTATGGGAGATGGTGAGTATGATTTATTTCTCTTGTTGTGCTGTGTTATACACTTCGTTTTAAGGTGATGATTGTTTGCTGTATAAGAAATACGTTTCTCCCTAAAGAATGAAGGGCATGTACGTGTTTGTGTGCAGCCGGCCGGGTGTTTATGCGCGTGTGTGTCTTTTTTCACTTGGTGTGTCACTGTAGGGTCTGGTAAACATAAGGTGAAATTTACCTTGCAGCCCAAGCACGGCTTCTTCAGGCTTTGGTGTTGGTATTGATCATGAAGGGATGGTGGAAGGGTCACATAATGTGTACAGAAGCTCTGGAGGGGGAATATGGCCTTTGGAGTAATGGCAGATTTAGGCAGGGAGGTTTGATGAGCCAGCTTGACATCTTTCCTGCTGTATTTGACAGAATTTGAATTCTGTGGTAATAAAATACTTAGAGAAGCAAAATGGCTTGCCATGGATACTACATTAATTAGTATGCCTGTGATTTGTCAGTGTCTCTAGTAAACATCTTTGAAGAAATTTATATAGGACATAATTTGATCACAAATTATCTTTTGGTGTTTTGGTAAGAATAATTTTAAAAACACCTATTTCTATAGTGTTTTATACTTCTCAAAGGCACTTTGATATACTTTATATACACTAACTCCTCAGGTACAAATGACTGGTGAAGTACACGGATATTTGGTGTTTCCATTTCACAGATTAGGAAACTGAGACCTGCTGAAAGGTGTGTTCCAGGTCCAGGCACAGAAAGCAAACGAGGCTGAATCTACAGCCCCAGATGTGCATCTGCTATTGTCCTTCATAACACTGACGATTTGAGCCTTCTCCTTGTTGCTAAACCTTTTATTAAGATGCTTAGATGTATGTTTCATAATCAGTATCAGAGATGTGTACAGAGGGATTGTAAGGGTTCTACAGTGTTTTGCCGTGTGTGTGTGTGTGTGTGTGTGTGTGTGTGTGTGTGTGTGTGTGTGGTTTTGAGCCTTAATAGTGTCAGCCTTCCTATGACTAAATCATAACCTCTGTCTGAGAGTTGATCCTCTTGGTGCCCTTAGGAATAGATTGCAAACTCACGAAGTTGCTGTTATTGATAGTCATTTAAAATACTTATGTACATTTAAATAAAAGTGTGATAGGAGATTGTTTTACATATTGTTCTGAGGGATTCTGAGAATTTATGTAACTTTTATATGACCCATATAAATAAATTCAATAGACTTTATTAATTTTTAAGGTAAAAAATATCAAATTAATTTTTCAGATACTTAAGAGCATTGCCAAGTTTCTTAGGAAGATAAAACAAAACAAAAATGCTTAATTTTTAGGCAACTAAATGTTGCATTTGCTTTGGCTTTTTTTTTTTTTTTTTTTATTCTAAGTTCTTTGGCCATCCATGTTTCTTTACTTGGTTTTTATTTTCCAAATAATACATTTAGACAGTTTAGGAATGTATTGATTTTTTTTTTTTAAATTCAAAGTAATGACCTCTTGTAAAGCTTAGAGGGTAACCTTCCAACTAATTCTCTTCCTTAAAATAGTAACACTTTTGTTGGATTAAAATATGCCTTTTAAAAAAATCCTTAGAAGTCTGAATAATAAAGCCATGTGTATACCTGCAGGCTGTCAGGATGAGCAGTCTTAATGTTTGGTATGGCTACTCTGTGCACGAGTTTCTCTCACATACAGTTTGTGCGTCCACACACCATGCACCACCTTACATGAGTGTGTGCAGCAAGTGCACTGCACTATTCCTAACTTATTGACTCATTTAAAATTTCACTGTGGATTTATTATGTAAATATCATCTTTTTAAAATTGAAATGATCATAATGCTAAAATCCCTTAAACTTGTTTATACTTCATGCATGCTTTTTCATGCCTTGTATTGTGTCTTAACAAACCTTCCTTCAAACATTTTGTGTTGATTGCTGTTTATTTACTTTAGGGGAGGGCCTCACTTACTCTGACCAGTTATTTTACCATTAAGCCGTACCCCTGAAAGCAGTCATTCTGAATATATTTTTAACATTTGCTATGTCTGCTCAATAACACATGAAGTGTTTTAATACCATGCCATCATGTGTTACTCTGCTCCATTTGTTTAAACTGTTGCATAGCCTTCCATTGTATAGATATTGTATAGCCATTTCATCTTCTGTGAAAGTTTACATTCTTTGCCACATATAATTTTTCCTAAATTGTTCTGGAAAAGGCTCTTTTGTACAGGCTGTTTATGTGAATACAGACACATGCATTTTTCAAAATACTATATAAGTAGCATTTTAGGACCAAAAATTTCACTTTAAGTTGGGATAGCTGTAACTATACTCCAGAAATACTTTATTATATACATTCTCAACAGTAATACTTACTAACCAACATTCTTTTCAGCTCTTTTTTTTTTTTTCAAATTTATTTATTTTTATGTGCATTGATGTTTTGCCTGTATGTATGTCTGTGTGAGGATGCCAGATCCCCTGGAACTGGAGCTACAGACAATTAATTGTGAGCTGCCATGTGGGTGCTGGGAATTGAACCCGGGTCCTTTGGAAGAACAGCCAGTGCTCTTAACCACTGAGCCCTCTCTCCAGCCTCTCTTTTCAGTTCTTGATGTTATTAATTGATTAAATAATTTACCAATTATATCAGTAAAAATTATCCACATTATCAAACATGGCTGCTTTCTGATAACACTAGTCATCTTCATATGACGTGTGTGTGTGTGTGTGTGTGTGTGTGTGTGTGTGTGTGTGTTCTGGGAGTTGTCATTTGGCTTGCTTTATTTATTTGTGCAGGCATGTTTACCTGTGCAGGTAGATGTGGAGGCTAGAGGTTGACACTGGTATCTTCTTCCTTTGCTCTTGCTTACTTTCTGAGACAGGATTTCCCACTGAACCTGGAGCCTACTGTTTGAGCTAGGCGGACTGGCCAGCAGTCCCCTGGGATCTACCTGTTGAGCTACCCGGGGGTAGGAGTGAGGTTTTAGGTACAGGTTGGTGTTTGTAGTAAGCACTTACTTTATAAACTGAGCCATCTTTCCAGTCTGCCTTTTGGCATCTTTGGCCAAATCATTTGACTTTTTCTTTGTTTATAGCTGATCTTTAGGTATTTCAGTTATGTCATTGGCAGTTTTATTTATTTCAAGGTCAACTCAGATTTATGAGATCCTGGGGTGACTTGTTGCTTGGTGAGTCCTTGAGGGTTCTGGAGTGACTTAATGCTTGGTGAATTCTTTTTTTTTTTTCCCCCTTGGTTTTTCTAGACAGGGTTTCTCTGTGTAGTTTTGGTGCCTGTCCTGGATCTTGCTCTGTAGACCAGGCTGGCCTCAAACTCACAGAGATCCACCTGATTCTGCCTCCCGAGTGCTGGAATTAAAGGCGTACGCCACCACTGCCCACTGTTTGGTGAGTTCTTGAGGGTAGCTTTTGGATGCTTTTAACTTCAGTTGTTCCATTCTTATTCCAAAGCATAAAACCAAACATCTGAGTAATTGTATAATATTATGCTCTCAGCAGTCAAATCAGAGAGGGTTAATTAAAAACCTGTAGGATTATTATGTGGTGCTGAGGCCTGCAATCTGCCCCAGAACCATGAGAAAGGAATTTGGCCTTTTGTTGTTCCTGCAGAGTGGCTGGAAAGAAATAAGGTTTTGTTATAAATGAACTGTTTCTAAATTTTTAACATTCAATACAGTCCATTAAAAAATTGTTTTAAGAATATATGCAGCTGAACCAGGCATGGTGGCAAACTCCCTTAATCCCAGCACTCAGGGAGAAGCAGGGAGAGCTTTGTGAGTTCAAGGCCAGCCTGGTCTATATAATGAGTTCTAAGCCATCTAGGGCTACATAGTGAGATCCTGTCTTTAAAAGAAATCATGAATTTTTAGGGATCACTCTTCTGTGAGATCCTTTTGCTTCTAGGACCACTTCAGACTTACCTAAACTTAGTTTAAGAGGAGTGGACCACTAGCAAGAAATTACTGCTGGAACGATCCCCTCCCAGGCTCCTGAACAGTCTTTATGACACACTGGGATTATGTGATGTAAATCACAGAACGAAACCTGCCTTTTCACTTGCTGACGTAAGGACAGTGTTTTCTACTAAAATCAATGACAGGATTAAAAAAAAAAGCATATTGAGAAAAATAAATCACAAGGAACAAACGAGTAGTATTATTGAGAATCATGAAAGCCAGCGGTGCACATAACAGTCCAAGGTAAGATGATGTTTCAGGAAGTGTTCAAAAGCCGGAAGAGACTGATAGCCACTTGAAGCAGTCAAACGTCTCTCTTATTCTACTGATTGAATTTTCTATTCTATCAAAGCCCTTAAAAAATTGTATTAGCATTAATGTAAGACAGAAGACAGTAAGTAACTAAGATTGAAACTAGCCAGTGGCTAAAAATAAAGCAAGCTAATAGTAGTCACTGCCGGCCTTAGCCAACCACCTTTGGTGCAGCTCTGGGAGGGAGGTACCTTTAAACAGATCCCAGTCTTCCGGAGGCAGCCCCATTTACCTGCTGGGTGTCAGGAATGAATTGGACTCTTTAAAGGTTTACAGCTTTTCTTTGTACTTGTAGAATGTTACAGTTTGATGTTCTTAACAGTTGCTGGCTTGAAAATTTAAGTGACAAATTTCTAACTTTCATGAACATCGTTTATTATTTACCTTGGTATATTTCATGACATTATTTAATGTTATAAATTGTTATTTAATTTTATTGTTTAAATTGTGATTATCTCTTGGTTGAATCATTGAAGGTCTTGAATCTTTAAAGATAACCTTCCCAAATTATTCAAAGGGGGAAAAACCCCAGCAAAGTCTTTAGATATATATTTTAAATTGTTCAATTATATCTTAAAATTATTAGAGGTCTCAACTTCTAGTAATTTTAGTGAAAATTTATTTTTAAGCTAAAGACAAATTTTAAAAATAATTTTTTTTGAGACATGGTTTCTTTGTATAGCCTTGGCTACCTTGGAACTAGATCTGTAGACTAGGCTGGC